GTACGAAGTAGTAGTAGTAGTAGTTAGTTAGTTCGTTCGTCTACTACTAGTCGTCGTCGTACGTAACGTACGTTAGTCTCTACTTTGTTCTAGTATTCTCTCTCTCTCTCTCTCTCTCTCTCTCTCTCTCTCTCTCTCTCTCTCTCTTTTTAGGGTTCCGTTTGGACTTACAGTTAATAATGAATTGATCCATTCTATTCTCAATCCATTCTATTCTCAACCCATTGTACCTACTAGGGGTGACAATGGGTCGTGTCCTACTGGACTTAGATCCGGACTCGATTAGTATTCGGGTCTAAGTTTTGAACCCGGACTTGACCTTCAAGGTCCAAATTCGGACCCATAACCGGACCCAAGGTCAAATCTACCTGTCGAGTCCCAAGTTTGGTCGGGTCCATTGCCACCCTGTGATTATGGGCTTTTCTTTTTTTGTTTTTGCCCTTTTTTTTACCATATTGTATCGGCAACATTTCATGTATTGCACAACCTTTATGAATACCTACATATACCCACATTCCTTACTACTTTACGTAATAACTGAAAATTTCTAAGAAACAAACATAGTGGCAACATTTATGAATACCCATGGCGGGACATGGAATCAAATGTGCATAGTATTTGGGTCCAGGTTTTGAACCTGGATTCAGGTCTGAAATTTGAACCCATACCAGACCTGAGGTCAATCCACCCATTGGGTCCGGAGTCTGATCGGGTGCATTGCAAACCTAATGGCCCCACAATTATTTATGGGCAAGTCCTTTATGTACCCCAGTCTATTTACCAAAGGCCGCCAAAAATGTCCATAACCTCTTTGAAAAATCATCACTGCGAATCGTTAGGGCCAGAACTTTACAACCTGGAACCTGGTTTTTTATTGCCCACCCTATACGGATCCAAATTGGCCAAATCGGGAATTTGGATGGGTTGAACAGGTCAAAAATCGGTAAAATAGTTAAATAAAATATTACTATCACGTGATTCCGGGGTGAGGGAGGAAGACCCGGACCGTCCACCTATCGAATCCAATCTGGATTGGCACTTCCCTAGCAGATCGTTGGGTTTCAACACCCTAGTTGGAACATTCAAACAAGCCCTTAACCGACAATAACTAATCTAACCAATGTATTATTCCATCCTAGTTCTGATCATACAGCAATAAGCATCCCTTCAGTGATTTGGACAGTGATGGAGTCAATAGCCCCAAACAAATTCAATTGATTTTTTTTTATTGTTTAATGCACATTGAACTGAAAGTATTCCATAGGCGTTTGCCTTTAAAACTTTGTAAAAAAGGAAAATGCAATCATAAGAAAGAGAAATACATTGCAGGCAATTCGCCTTCTATGCCTACAAACGGATGATAGCAAATTTGAAAGGAGAGAAGTATATAAAGAAACTATTTATTTTTGATACAAGAAAGTCATGGTCATTCTTGCTCTTCACATTTCAAATTGAATGATTGTGAGTATTTATTTATCCGATTCAAAGTTAAAAAATAAAAATTTTCGAAATTTGTATACACCCCAAACAGTCTAATTTGACATCCAATGGCTGAGAGTAATTGCGACCTTCTTGTAACAAAGATAAATAGTTTCATTGTATAAAAACCCAAATTGCAATTAACAAAAATGAATCAAAGAACTATAGGGGTGCAAGATCTCTCATTTCAGACATGGTAATGTGTGCGTATGCATGTGCATGCAAGTGAGAGCTCCTTTAGCCATACTCACCACGGTGTAAGGAAGAGAAAGAAATGAAGAGAGTGCATGAGGGTGGAGCATCAGGTAAATGAAGAGAGCAGCAAAATCAGTCAGTCACATGTATTAGCGCCCCTGGTGTTGGTGCCCTACATTAAAAGATGCAACATCAGCTGGTTAGAACGGATTTTTGGGGTGGGCTGAACTTGAACTTTGGTACAGTATTCTCAGCGATACCAACCATTTGATTTTACATTCCATGGTTGAGGGTGCTTGTAATTGTCATATGGGACACTTCCAGTGTAGTTGAATAGTGACTTCGTTGCATTCGCAATTACTTTGAGATTCACCTGCTCCCGAACTCTTTAAAAAAATGAAAAAGTTTATATGAGGACACTACCATAGAATGTAGAACTACGGATGCCCTTCAAAAATCGATCAGAAAAGGTAGTTTTAATGTTGAAAAACCCTTTGATTGATCATCTCAACATCGAGATGTATGACTATAAAAAAATAAAAAGATTTTAAGTCTAAAAAATAGTACATTTTATAACATATTTTCTAAACCGTCTATTTTCAAGATTTTCATATGTTTATAGATCTACTTGAGTTTAACCATTTTTTAAATTTAAAATTTTATAATTAAATATAAAATAGATTTTGAGATAATCCTAAAAACATTTTACATCAAAATTAAATACCATGATAAAATTTGAAGGTGCACCTTACTTCTACAACTACGGATGCATCCGTATGCAAACTGCACCCTTAAAACAAGGGTACTTTTCTTATATGACATAACGGACGGTCCAAAAAAACTAGGGCCTAGACTAGAAAATGTGGCCCAACAGCCCAAACAATGCTAAGGTCGGGCCTTGGTTAGGGTATCTTTGGCCAAGTTAGGGGCCAGCCTGGTTTGGGCAAGCCCACAAGCTATTAGGGCGGGCTAGCCCAGCTGGCCCAGCCCAAACTCAGCTTGTTGCCAACCCTACCCAGGGCTCCTAACAATCCAGTTATACTTAATAACTAGGGCGGGTCCAGGACAAATGTCCAAAAAGCTAACACTACTCGGCAACAAAGTCGTTCTCGCAACTATCGGATCTTTCACTTGGATGTTTCAACTTTTTCTATTATTCTATATCTCAAATTGAGGTTAAATTTTTCACCTACTCTTCCATAATGTACCATTAAAAAATAAAAAGAAAATATCTCTATACCCATTATTTTAAGTTTTACTTCACAATAGACCCAAGGTTTTAAACGATATCTTGAAGTATAAAAATTATACATTTAATTTCTTCTAACCCCTGAGCTACTTTAAACCTATTTTTTTAGGCCAAACAAATCTAAAAAGATATATATTTTCTAAAAGCCATCCTCCCAAACTTCTAAAGAGAGAGAAGAGCTTAATGGAGGCGAGGTTATCGAGAAGAGAAAGAGATGTTTGAAAAAACACACGAGAGAGAATGAGAGATGCAAGAATAGAGAGAAGGAGAAAAGTTTAGAGTATATAAGTGACGAGTGAGAAAAGATTGAGTTTAAAACGAGCATATCTTTCTCATATTTGTTTAAGTTAAAAAATGGATTTAAAATATCTAGGAAGTTAAAAGATATCTTTTGAAATTTTAAGTTTAACTATAAATGAAACCTAAAAATAAAAGACAGAAATATTTTCTCAAAAATGAATAACTAATTTGACAAAATTAAATGACCAAAACATCTATGAAACTTTTAGAGGCACAGTTTTCATTTCATATTTATCAAATTATATTTTGCAAATGCGACAATACTCACAAATTCCATCCAGTACGATTTCTTAAAAAAATAAACTTCAAACAGAGTTACACACTCTCGACTATCATCTCACATAGGACAGCTGAAAACACTTATCACTCACCTTTTCTAAATAAGTGGGTAGAGAAACAAATTTAACCCGGTGTGAAAATCGCAACTGAAAAAACAAGCATTTTAAAAAGTTGTTTTGTTACTGTTGTATAACATTAAACCGTTAAGTGAATTAGTACCAAAGTGAGTGGCAAAACAAGCCCCATCACAATGCTCATTGTGATGGCCCCATAATCAAACTCAGGCAAAAAATCACCTACCCACAAGAGACGGAGGAAATCCAATTGAAAGTAACTTTAAAGGATGCAAAAAAATTGTACTCCCACAAGATTATACCATCCACCTACTTAGGCAAAATTTACGATCTAATTATCTTTTAGACACCAAATTTTAGGGATGTGATCTCTCGCTACCCAACCACATAAAAAAAAGACTTTAATATGTCTAAAAAAAATCCCTAGACTGCACTGAACCATCTAAGATTTAGAGGGAATGCATTAGATATTCAAGGATTCAAAATTTATTTTTTTCCTTCGAAAACATCCATCTAGTTATAATTACATGGACCCTGAATTTTTATTTTTTTTTAAAAAAAAGTTCCTAAATAAGTTTTTGCATGGAGTAAATATACAATATGCTCCCATGGAAGTACAGTATACGGGCTCTTGAAGTACAATGGAAATAAAAATGTTAACCTTCCAAAAGGGATCTAATGAGAGAGAGAGAGAGAGAGAGAGAGAGAGAGAGAGTCTACTAGTTAGCTTTACACATGATACCCTTCAAACCATATTTCCTAAGTAAAATGGAGAAAGAAATAACAAGAAATATAAATATATTATATACATATACTTAATAAATACATGATTACAGACAAGATATATTAAATACAGAGAAAGAGAGAGAGAGAGAGAGAGAGAAAGAGAGAGAGAATATCAGTTCACTTGAGTAGCTCCTGCAGGACTGATGACAAGCAAGTGATGCTATTCTTCTTTTGCTTGAGAGCATGTAACTCACAGAGTGCACAGCCTGCAACTTTCCAAGCAAAACCACACTTGGCAATATCACTCTTCTCCTTCGCATAAAAATATGATATTGCATATATTTCACAGGCCTCTCTGAATATCTCCTCCCTTGGCCTCGTCCTCTCTTCATACTCTTGCGCTCCATATAGAATCTTAAACATAGAAACAGTAGAGAAAAATTCATTAATTTTTCTTGCAAAAATGTACTATGAACCATACGATCATGGGCGTCATCACGGTCCAATTGATGGATAGGAGATCCAGGAGGGTAGGACGTTCCGCTAGTCCCACTTTCCCTCCCTCACATCCCACAAATTGATTGGATGGCGATGATCGTCCAGAGAACATACTTTACATGTTCATGAGGAACATAAAGACACTCCCTTCTATCATAATTTAGTGCATCATAATTCTGCAGGGTTTTACCAAAAATAGAAAAATAAAGGAAAAGAAAAGAGTTAAAAAGAGCCAACTGGCCCCCCACTGGGGCCGGAACACATAGACACTCCCTTCTATCAAAATTTAGTGCATCATAATTCTGCAGAGTTTTACTTAAAATAGAAAAATAAAGGAAAAGAAAAGAGATAAAAAGAGTCCACTGCCCCCCACTCTCTCTCTCTCTCTCCACCAAAACAAGATATTGGAAAAAGAATTATGCGTAAATACCTTCTTATAGTTTTGGATGACTTCATCCGCATTAGATTTCTTTTGATCAGTGCTCGACAAAGCTTTGTTCATCTCGTCTCTGTATTGAGCGTAAAGCCCCTTCCATTTTTCCATGCCGCTCGGCTCTACTTCTTCAAGGAAGCATGGCAGCAGCTCAATGTCTGCGCATAAAAGAAAGAGGTTTAAACAGGATCAAAAGAAGAGGGAAAGGAACAAAAAGAAATGCTTTATGAACAGGAAATTGCCATATCCATGTGCTTCACAGTTGCTGCTAATATTTTCATCCAAATGCAACAGAAAGCAAATGCTAAGTTCTTATGCATGGAATGTAAGGATTAAGATAGGGAAAAGAAGGAAAGAATTATAAATAATATTCTCAAAGTTGGTAATGTTGGTATAAGCAGTTGGATGCGCCTCACACCTTCACATGGTACATCCATCTGTGCTGAAGCCACTAAGTCATAAATCTGACCAAGAATCGAAGTAGAGGTGTATTGGTAAGTTCTCTCCATGAAATGGGGGTATCTTTCAGGCTTCAAGTCCTTTGGAACTTCAACCTAAATTCCCAGAATAAAATTTAACATTACGAACACCGAGGAAGAAAAAAAATGAAACCAGCTTGTTTAACATGCTAAAGAAAGAGGAGACGACTTGATTGTGGGCATGTCTGACCCACCTATGGTTTTTCTGTTTTGGAACTTTAGTAATTTCAGCACAGAGAAAAAACAAATTCACTTATTCACATTAGATTTTTGTTTCTTATTTCTTAGTGACTAGAATCCCAGGACTTTTGTGTCTATGTTCCTTGTGAAGGTCTTGGAACTCTTTTGAAATGGTGTGCAGTTAATTATATTGTACTTGTAGTAGCAATAGAGGTTTCCGAAAGAAAATCACTTTAAATGTTTTTCAGAAAATAAGTAGTCCTTAAATAGCGTGAACATGTTTCTCTAACAGAATGATACATGCTGAAACTATCCATAATGGTTTTGAAGAAATTAGACAAAAGGAATTCTATCGATGCCCATGTTTACCACTTCACTATTACCAACCAAAACATAGGTGACGATCCTAAACAAGGAATTATGTTTAGCACTGAAAGCCAAACTATTGGGGGCGCCACTTGGTGTGAAGGTAAAAGGCTTGGGTAGCTAGTGCAAGAGCACGGGTTCGAGTCCCAAAAGCAGCCACTTTGTGAATAAAAAAGCCAAAGGCTATGACCGTTTCCAGCTCAACCCTACCGGGACCCTGTGTAGGCAGGACCAGCACTGGGTTACAGCCTATTGACAGCCAAACTATTGGTGCCAATAAGAAAAGAGAAGATTATGGGTGTGGATAGCAAAAACTCATGCCAATCAGGAATTCCCAACATAAATTCATAAACTGGAACTTACAACAGTTTGTATATGTTAAGGAAAACCTGCATTTTTGTACTGCTCAGACCTGGAACATCAATAATGTTGCATGTGTTGAAGAAAACTTGCATTCGCCGACAACATAAAACTGAAACTTGGACATTTGAGAAGATTTGAGTTGGCGTTATAATATCACGCAAATACCATGTAATTATTGTCCCCCGAGGTTCATGCAAGGCCATTGCATCGAATTCTTATATGGTTCATTTAAGTCAATTCAATGATTCATACCAATAAAGATTTCAAAGGGACCTTTCAAAATTTAATTTTTCAGATACAACAAAAAAGAGGACAAATCATCAGGAGATCCCTATAAAGTTTTAGCTAAGGCTTCATCAAGACCTTTTTTCCACTTTTTGGTGCATCCACTGCTTCGTAGTACAAGTCAGCTAACTTGAGCATTTTCTGGTGCAAGCAACCTTTCTCTTCTGCACACTCGTCCCCCAAAGTTAACAATCGATCCATATAGACCAACCAGCTATCAGCAGCTGCACACTTTGCAATGCTGGAATGATAAAAGAAACTTCTTACCACAAAGCAATTTATCTTAATTGCTATAAACATACACAAAAATGAACAATAATCAAGAAGTGATCATTAACAGGTTAAAAAATAAAAAGAATAACCACATCTTATATGGTGCAAAAAGGTGTCCATTAACTTCACATACAACTGCAATAACTTGGAAATTAATGATATCATTCTTTCGGAACAGAGTGTGGGATAAGACTGAGGTACAATATTTCCCATTGCAAATTGAATGTGTCGCTTGTTCACCTAATTTTAGGAATTACCCAAGTTATAATCATGAAACTGAACTGGAAGTCATAGTTACACTGTGCACTCCATTTGCTCTCACTTGGAAAACCATGGTCATTGAATTCTAGGAAGCTAGCGTCAGCTTGTTCATCTACTTTTCCCTGAAGATGCATGGTTTTATTGTCATCAAAGAAGCTACCATGAAACAGATTCTTACTCTATCACTCGAGGAGGCCTACACCTCATTTGCTCCCAAGAAGTCAAGCAGGTCCAGTCTCTCCTAGCAAGCAGTGGTCCAATATGTATCAAGAAAGCAAATTGTAGAAAGATCAAATGCAGCATTTCTGGGTTGCCAGGGTTTCATGGCCTCAAGAAAACCGTCAATCAAAATCACGTGCCAACGCACTTGGTTGACCTGAGGATCTGTTTGATTTGAGGTAAGGTAGAGGGAAGATAGGGAATAAACAGATACACAAAGGCTTGGCACCCATTTTTGGCAGTTGGCACTTCCACATTTCAGGTTAAAGGAACTCCGATTCGAGTGTAACCAGAACCCTTTAAGCAGAACAAAACCTAGAATCAGCTGACTGATTTCTCTGTTCAAAATTGATAGGTATGAACCAATATCTACTCAAATTATATCAAGCACACATTTTGCATCATCTTTATCACAAGATCTCAGTCAAAAGCCATTATACATCCAAATATTCCAATCTCCATGAGGGATAGTCCAAGCAAGGAGTTCAAATGAGTGTCTATAGCCACAAGATCTCTTTATGTCACCCCGTATTACCCCAAAATTCTGATAGACAAAAATGATTCAATCACTTGCTTGTTTATTGTTTGTGATTATTATTTTGCTTTCTGCTTGTGAGTTTGTGTGTGTCTGCATTCAGTACTCTAAAACTTGGCCCACTTTGGTGCCAATGCGGCAACTAAACTGGGCCCATGTTGGCATCATGTGACTTCTTGAGTCACCGAGGGAGCCTTTGCACCTAGCCAAAGAAAGGCGGGCTGACTTGGGTGGTCCTTAGTGTGCAGCTTCTCAGCAGGATAAGCGCTGCATATGCATGCTTCTAGTTCTTTGGCCAAGGTGCCAGCCCTGGACACTTTTTGTATGAGTATTGTGCTGTGTTGTGTGTGTGTGCATATTTGTGTGTGTGTGTGTGTGTGTGAGAGAGAGAGAGAGAGAGAGAGAGAGAGAGAGGTTGTTGCACAACCAAGATCAAAGCTAGGGATTGATCTCCGTGAACACATCGATTTGAGTAGGTTCGGGTTCGCTTCCTTGAAGCTTGTGGTCAAATAGAAAGTGAAAACAAAATAATCAGCGTAAACCAAAAATTGCTCAATGACTTGATTCACAACAATTGATAGATGAAATAGTGGCCCTGAAATCAATAAAAAACAGTCCTGATTGATACCAAGTAATAATGAATTCCATAAAACAATTGTGTGAACCTAATTTTCTAAAAGGATTTTCATTGAACACAAGTTATGCACCTTCCTCTATGGAAGCCCCAGCAAAACCAAACTGTCAAAACCTTTTCCTTTTAGATGGTTAATCCCTTAATACATTATTCCAATATTCTTCCAAACTTAATTTTGTTGATAGATTTGCACAGTGGTAATGGTTGCCTAACATGCTCAGAATAAAAAGAAAAAACAATATGGTAGAGAATCTCTCTAATAAATTCAATATGGTGTAGAGAATCCCTCCTTCCCTCTGTTTGTGGGTGCATGCATGTGTGTGTGTGTGTTAGTGAAGTGCGATGAAGGGTTTCAAGCAAGTACTTAATGCATGTGGAGTGAGACCATCAGCCTTGTTTGTCTAGCCTACAATTCAAGGTATAGTTTTCTCATATATCCCTACTTTTTTATCTGATCTGCTGCTTTCACAATGAATGCAAGTGTTTTGAGATTTACACAAGACAAATTCTGATACATATTTCTATAAATAAATATCTCCAAAAAAGTAACTCAACAGCACGGGCCACCTTATGCCCTTTGCTAAGCACACTTACTAGGACACCTCTAAGATACTAATATAATCCAATCATATTAGTAATCACATTGTAGATCAACCCAAAGGAAAACCTAATGAAAAGTGAGATGCGACTCAAATCATACCTTGGATGAAATCGACTCTCTAAGAATAGGTCAAAAAGCTCAGTTTCCAATTCATCTGGTGAATATTCAATAGGTTTCCGCTGAGGAGGGGGCTTCTCGGAAGAAGACCGTTCCCATGGCGGGCCAGCTTTGAAATAATGTAGCAGCTAAAAGCCACATACTAGGAATGATCATCAAATTGAAAACAACATAAATTGCACAGACATCTACAATTTTCATAAAAAGAAGCAAAAGGACATAAATAACTACATGCACAACAACAGCTTCAGGTCACCCCAATGTCAAACATAGAAGTACATATTATGATATCCACAAAAAAAAGAAAAAAAAGGAATAGAGTTTTTGTTAAAAAAGGAAGTAACAAAATGTATCCCACATAAATATCTAAAAAGCATTTACATGATCAACTGACTAAAGAATTTCAAAGAAAAGGATGATAATCATGCCAAAATTCAGGATCCAAACAAAATTTTTGAGTAAGAAGTGGGATTCAAACCCTAACAACAAATTTTCCTTTCTTCCCACTAAACTTAAGAAAAAACAAGGTTTCTGGAAATCCTGAAAACCTTAAATTTATGAACTACTAAATTCAAGAGAGCACTCTGATGATTTATAATCTAATACTTTATATCTTTAATAGTTTATGAAAAGTACCAGGAACAATCATCCTCCCATAGAGGATAATTTATAGCATCTAATTTCTAATATTTTAAAAGAAATGTAAAAATACAATGATGTTATAATTTATTAATTTATCCATTTGTCAAACCAATGTGAACACACAATGGATGGTTATAACAGTTTATACTTTACACATGCTCTTAGTGTATACATCGCTAGCCATAGGGAGCCTAAAAATAAAATTCAAATGAAGAATGTTAAAGGAAAAGTGTTATCCTGTATGGGTGCGTTTTTGGACCCTCATTTAAGGGCAAAACACATTTTAAGGGAAATAAGCATGAAAGGCATGTATAATCTCGAAGGTTGAGATAAGCAAATGTTGAACGACTAATAAGCGCAAACAAGCTTGACTTCCAGACTCCTTGCTGATGTTATTGATGGGGTCAAATTTCATACAATATCCCAAGGATATGCCTCAATGTAACCAATGAACTCAGGACTTGTCATCTAAGGTCTGATATGCTCTGAAAGTTCTGGCAACCAGTCACCATGCATATTTCAATGGCCGGTCAATAGCAAAGATGACCAAACAATCTCAAATTGAGACCAAACTTTGGGGATTATATTCCCAAGGCCTTATAAGCCTCTCCACAATATTCAGGGAAGTTTGGACATCAAATGCTATCAGAATGGGATGGAACTTCGTACATATATGAAGGCATTATACGCCTCTCACACAAATTCCATACGATTTGGACTTCATTTGATACTCCTCCATACTCACCGGCCATCAAGATAAAGCATGGTCGGTTCCTTCATGATATTTAGAAATTGGCCTGAAACTTCGTAGAAATCATATATGAGACATGATAAGTCTCTTCCGAGGGTTTTAACTCATTTGGAGATGATTTAATCTCATCCATGCCCTCGTCCATGCATAGAGGTAGACAAGGATTATATCCACCGGCCACTAAATATATGTTCATCAAGCAAGATGACCCTGAATCACTAAAAAAGAGATTTCTCCCATTCTACAAGGAGTACTTCACGGGACTTAATATGGTAGATTCTTGACTCAGTTTCCTACCAACCCCGGAAAGCCAGTACCCCATGAATGTACCATATGAAAGAGGTTCGATCCACAACAACCATAAAACTATGTAATGGTCAGAATGCCGGTCTGAAACATCTCCCAATATACAAGGGGTTTTCTCACCAAATTTTGTGGAGGTGTTCTTGATAACCCCTCCACATCAATATCAAACTTTCAGGGACTATATTCCGTTGAGATGAGAGCTGTTGGGCCCATTGTGGCCTGATTTTCCATCGAAATAAGCGGCAGAAATGGGTCAACTTCGATGGGGCATATCTCACGCATTACTGATCCATTTGCGGTGAAATGTGGACCATTGGATTCATCTTAGAGTACTTTATTAGCATGCAAAATTTCAGGTCATAAGGACTCGACATCGAGAAGCAGCATCACTTGGAATTAGACATTTTCATTTGCATTCCAGTTTGACTGCTGGTGGCTACAGACCAACATCAAATCCAAGATTTCTTCAAAAAGAATCACAAGAGCATGGGTTGGTTTTGGTTCGAAAATTTGAACTATCGTTGTTTCTATGACAACTTGAGCTAGTTCCAGTTGAAATTAGAATTGAAGCCCATCCTTATGACAACTCAAAGTTGGTTTCCAGTTTATCTTTTGTGATCTTCCGAGAGATAAATGCTTGCAACTCATTGATATTCAATAAGCACAAAACATATCCATGTTTGTCATCTGAGAAGTCCCTTAGGTACTCAATTATATAAGTAGGGAAAGGTATTCATCCAGGACTAATGCTACGGGAATCATAGAGAGCGAGTGCTGCCCCAGACTTAAGACATTTTTTCTGCACTCTAAGTGAGGTCAAGAGCACACAATATTTTCCTAAACCTTGTCGGGGATGAGGGTCCATCTGAAGAGAGAGAAGATAAACTTGACATAAAGACTCACTCCCAGGTTCAAGAAAGCAAAGGGTGGACAACATCACTGCATTATATCGAGGTATAGGGGTTTCCTATGCCCTTTGGTGCTGATATTTTCCATTTCTTTGTATACATTTCTTCAGGCCGTGTGTTGCTTTTCTCTTGTTTCTTAATATAGCTGGAGTCATAATCTTTAAAAAAAAAAACAATTAAAGATGCATCTCACCATTCTTGAAGGCCACACCTATGTTTTAAATTATTCATATATTTAACCCTCAAACTCATTTTGGCACCTTCACCAACAAAATAAACAAACTTAAAGATGCATCTCACCATTCTTGAAGGCCACACCTATGTTTTAAACTATTCATATATTTAACCCTCAAACTCATTTTGGCACCTTCACCAACAAAATAAACAAACTTAAAATGGGACATTGAGGGTGTGTGTTAGGGGTGCGAGCCAACTTGAATCTGGAAATTCCTCTGGGAACTTCCAGTTCTGGATTCTGGAGGCTGGAGCTTTTGAGTCCTGGAATTGCATAGCATGGATTTGCGTTGCTGTTATCATACGTCTCCATAGGAATATTGCCGTGAATTGGGTAATAGGGATATAATAGCTTTCCATACCGCCCTTGTTTAATATCTAGTATGCTAATTTCCCTTTCGTAGCATATTGATTTCCCTCAATTGCATCAATGATGAGGAGATTAAAAATATGTAACAGGTCTCAATTAATAATTAAGGACTTGAGGATAATAGTAATCTCTAAGACAGATGTTGAGACATTCCCAGACAAACACTACAAGCATCAGCAACTCCATGAGACACCAACCACAGTAAGATTATTTGGACTTAAAACATCAAAAGCTCCAGAAGCAGTAAAACATGAGTCAAAAAAAGCAAAAAGAGATTTTTGCTGTTCTCCCAAATCAAGGCAACGAGAAAAGGCACCAAGCTTGTCAAACTAGCCATTGGGTTTTCATGTTGAAGATACTTAGGCCAATCTACAAGATGTTAATTCTTAATAGTAATAAGTTCCTAAACGTAAAATTGAAAGCATGCAATTGTTCTTTCAGAATTGTAAATGCTTCATAACAACCAAGAAGTAACAACCTGGTCACTTCAGAAGGAGTTTAAGCATCATAAATTACTGGAACATGGGATACATGTTCACAACAAGTTTGTGTTGTTTAGGCTCCCTAACATAATCGACTCACATCGATTACTTGTATCAAAATATCTTCCAACAAGATTGTCAGTGAATAAGAATTATATTTCACATTTGAAATCCATTCCAAAAATTTTAAACTTTTCTAGGTTTACAAACGAAGGCAGCCCTTATCGCAGAGACAAGCTGTGTACATGCAGAAAAGAGGCATCTTGAATAATGCTTATCATTGATTTATCCACGCACAAAGGAAACTACCTTGACTCCATTTATTAGCATTAAGTAATTTACAAATTTCAATCAAAAGAACTCAGTGCCATGTACATAATGGAATTGAAAATCTCGAAATTGAAAAGGACAACAAACTACCAAAAGATATCATAAGTTGAAAATGAAAACTATTGTACACTCAATATGGTTAATTGCCATCTTCAAAAGGATTAATAATTGCTTGCAACACAAAATACTCCATGAAGCCTCAACAGAGAATGTTTGACACTATTCCATAAAAAAAAAAGATATAAAATCTAAACTATTAATCGTTAACAGTTTCCTGAAAAAAAACTAAATCATTGAAAGCAATCCTTAAGAAATACAAAAATGGAGTGACAAAGAATAGTGTTGTCATTGGCATAGCAAATACTAACAGTTTAACTTCAGAATGATATGACATCGACTAATAATAATTCATAAAGCTTTTAAGACGAGATGCCGACCTCTGGATTAGTTGATATCCAGTACATGTCACCATCAAAATCACCATTTGCAATTTCGTCTGCTGCAGATCGTGGACCTTGAGTAGAAAAAAATATTGCAAACTTGGCATTACCAACAATCTCCACCAAATCCTCAATGTAAGTTGCTGTAAAGACATGGATATCACCAAAATGCAGTCCAGGATGTCTGTACACTAAAACTTTCCCTGAAATTTGTCCATGATCCCTACAAAGTACTCAAATAAAAAATAGAATAAAAATGGCAATCCATTATCTCTGAATGAAATTAAGGCATAAACTCATCAACATCAATTATGCAATTCAGTGTGTCAAGACGACAGGTTTACGATTCAAAAACAAATGTCATGAATAGGTACCGTTGTAGAAGAATTTGTATTATTCAAAAGCATTAAATTGAATTTTGAAAATGACAATCAAATTAAACTAATTCTAAGCCATAGACTCCCTAATCAAGATTCCCCAAGAAAAGAGCACAGTATCACAAAGAATTCCTGACTGCTAGATAGAAAAGAATGAGCAAAATATACAGTTCTGACATGCCTCGGGACTTTAAACATCAACTTCCACCAGTTCTCCCCTTCAATACTGATAATTAATCAACATAACAGCAAAACCATTTAAAAGGTCAAACAAGATAATATTTAATTTTAACCATAAAGAATCTACAAATTCCAGAAGGCTACCATAATGGACCTAGTTTTGAAAAATATTATACACAGCAAATTAAGGATGAGAACAAAATTGTACAATAGAGAGAAGTTTAAGTAGAAAATTGTAACAAAAACTCATTCATATGTTACATATACATGCATGAATGAGTTTAATGATTAAGCACCTCTTATGTGTATTATCTGCCCAAAAAAATAGAAAATAAAAACAATACAAGAAATAATGAACAGAAAACATCTATATTTAATACTTCTAAAGAATTCCTCTCAAGCCAAATGAGCAGATCAATGCATCATGAGCTTGAAAGATAACAATTCCTCGACAGGCATTCGGCGAAGAAATTACATGATGTGAATTGTAAGTAACGAACATGTTATGATTTTCTTAGCAACACCAATGAAATGGATAAGCATCTCCAATGTATAGCATGAAAAAAAGGGTAGGCCACCCCACATGCAACACATCTTTTTTTTATTTTTTGCCTTTTCTTCCCTTTTATTTTTGTTGTTATTTGATTTGTTGTGGTGGAAGGGGAGGGGGAGGTTAGCAGGGATTTGAAATTGTCAACACACTAAACATTCAAACCCAGTACCCAAACAGACATTTACAATTCCAGTACACTGTAAGTAGTGTAATAACAAAGAATAAAGGCTATCAACATCGACATAGCTGCCAAGTAAGCTGCTACATTCAAAGCCAATGGTGGAAAAAAAAAGCTACGGATTTCTATTTCTTACTGCTCATCATAATCATCAAAGCATTTTCCCAACTAATTGGGATCGGCAACACGAATTTAGGTCTGACATTCTACTCTATTAAGGGTACCCTCAGTTAGGCCATATCCCCATATCATTTCTTACTACTTCCAACCATGTTCTTTTGGGGCCACACCTTGTCTTTTTTTAGCCTTCCACTTGAACTAACTCGTACCTCCTAACAGATGTTGTACTGGATATGCGCCACACATAGCCAACCCACTTAAGTCTACTCTATCTCATCCTATTGCCTATTGGTGCCACATCAAAATCTTTCTGGATGTATTCGTTTCGAATTCTATTCCTACTTGTCTTACCACTCATCCAACTCAAAATCCTCATCTCCACTACACTCATTCTATGGCTATATTGTTTTTTGACCACCCAACAATCCACCCCATAGAGCAAAACTAGTCTCACAGTTGTCCTATAGAACTTGCTCTTTAGCTTCCTTGGTATGCGGCGATCACATAAAATTTTGGCTGCACATCTCCACTTCGCCCACCCGGCTCTAAATTTATGTGTGACATCTTTCTCTATCCCTCCATTTTCCTAGTTTATAGACCCAAAATATTAAATTGCACTCTTTTTGGTATTTCCTAATCGTGAATGTTAACTGCTTACTCGTCTCTACTCCTATTATTACTAAACTTGCATTTCATATACTGTATCTTAGACTACTAATTTTAAAACCTTTAGATTCGAGAGCATCCCTCCAAAGTTCTAACTTTATGTTGACCTCATTTCAGGTCTCATTGATCAAAACTATGTCATCATCGAACAACATGCGCCATGGTACCTCATCTTGTATTAAGTTGTCCATAATTAAGACAAAAAGGTATAGGCTCAACGTCGACCCCTGATGTAGACCTATTGTCACTGAAAACTCACTCGTCTCTCCACCAGTTGTTTGTACACTAATTAGCCCTCCATCAAACATATTTCTCACCAAGTCACACCCACCAAATCAAATCTCGAGGTACTCTATCATAAGTTTTCTTTAGATTAATAAAGACCATGTGGAGGTCTTTTTCCCTTTGTCCTAAACTTCTCAATAAGTTGCGTAAGTAGGAAAATAGCCTCGGTTGTTGACCTCTCTAGCATGAAACCGAATTGGTTTTCTGATACACTCGTTTCATGCTTAGTCATTGCTCAATCACTTTATCCCAGAGCTTCATAGTGTAGCTCATAAGTTTGATCCCTCGATAGTTTATACAATTTTATGTTTCTTTTGATTTTGTAAATAGGTACCACAATATTTTTCCTCTATCCGTCTGGTATTTTCTTTGTTCTCAATACTTTGTTGAATAGCTTGACCAACCAGTCAATGTCAATTTTCCCCGTGCACTTTCAAACCTCTATCGAGATACCATCTGGTCCTAAAGTCATTCTTATCTTCATCCTTTCCAAAGCTTCTTTCACTTCCGATATCCTAATCCTACAAATGTATCTATGACCTCCTCCCTCATTTATGTCAATGGTTCCTTCTACCGCCATGTTCTCATTGTGTTTGTCATTCAATAATTTTTGAAAAATAAACTCTCTACCTTTCATTGCCCTCTTCATCCTTCACCAAGACCCTTTGATCATCAGTCTTAATGCATTTAATATAGTCCAGATCCCTACACTTTTTTTCTCTCTTTTTTGCTAATTTGAAAACATTTTTCACCTAGTGTTCGCAATATCAACTACTTCAACTCATAATCGGCTGGTTAGATCGGAATAGGGAGCCTTTCGATCCAATTAACCCCAGTTTTGGAGATCTACTTGGGGGGAATGGAACCCCATCCCCCCACATGAATAGTACATAACCGACCGGTTCTTTTAATCCAAACTAGCCGAATAACAACAAACCGAACAGTTATCCAAAAAATTGGTCGATTTTCAAAAGAAAAGGCCATTTTTTAATTGTGCAACTCAAGGGTTCAACTTGGAACATTGCCTCATGGGTTCGATTTTGGGTGGTTTTTTCAACTTTTGAAGGCTTTTTCATAGCTTTTAGACCATTATTGAAGGAAATTATTGTGCCAAGGCTACAAAACTAAGATCTCACAATGAAAAAATCATCTCAAAAAATTCCATGTTCATTTGTTTTGGTGTTTTTCATCGGGTTCTAAAAAGTCCGTCATACAATTGATTTCTCACTTGATTTTGATCAGTTTTGTGTCAAATTTTGTGCATTTTGAAGATAATTGAGTTCATCACACAATTGTTGTGTTAATTTGGTCAACTACACAAAGTTTCGTGCTCGATTTTGGCAGTTTTGGTAAGACACTCAGAGTCTAAGTTCTGAAATATGAGAAATCTGTCCAACTAATGATTTCTCCCCCGATTTTGATTGGTTTTATGTCAACATTTGTGCATTTTGAAGATAACAGAGTTCATCACACGATCGTTATGGAAATTTGGTCGATTACACAAAGTTTTGTGCTCGATTTTGGTTGTATCAGTCGATTACTGGGGCCAAGTCCAAGTAACTCGGCCAATTAGTGCCAAGTACAGTAGCAGAAATTTTTTTACCAATTTATTGAAAAATAATTTACCTGACCGACTCATACTGGTTAACCGGCACGGTTTTGAGTTAACCAAAACCGGCCCATGACCAATTGACCTGCCCAGTTTGATCTTTCATACATTGTTTTCATCTTTTCTTGCATTGCTATATAGATTACCATATGCCTTAAGTTTAGCTTTACTTTTTATTTCTTTAGCCTTTTTCTTATCATTATTATTTTCTTTTAAGTTTTGACTTTGATCATTTTTATTACACTGCAAGGTTTTATAACATGATTGATTTTCGCTAATGGTCTTCTAAACCACATCACTCCATCACCAAGTTTCCTTATCGGATTTCTTTTCCCTCTAGATTCTTCTAAAATTTCTTTAGCCACTTTCTTAATACAGTCAGCCATCTGATTCCACATAATATTGACCTCATGTTCAGAGGTTCATTTTCTTTCTTTAACCAATTTATCCTTAAATAAGTATATTTCTCATTTTTTAAATTCCACCATCTAGTTCTTGGACACCGATTAATTTCACCTCCTCTTTCATGTTTTTATGCAGACGTCCATAACCACGAGTCTATATTGGGTGGTCAAACTCTCTCTTGGGATAATATTGCAGTCTTTACATGATGGTCGATCTACCTTCTTAACTAGGAAGAAGGTCAAACTCTCTCTTGGGATAATATTGCAGTCTTTACATGATGGTCGATCTACCTTCTTAACTAGGAAGAAATCTATTTAGCTTTTATCTGATCCACTTTTACTTCTATTTCTTACAACTAAATAAAATAAAATTAGGTCCAAAATAAACACTTAATCTAGTGTTGGAGCAGTGATAATCAAGAATCCACCCGACCAGTAGTGTATGGGTATTGTTAAGCCGACCAGAGCTACAATAAAAGTCCTGGTGATATAATACCTTGTAAGTATCAAAATATGTTCCATGTCTTGAAGTGAGAAAGCTGTTGTACAAATTTCATACCCTGATTGGCTGAAAAAGCCTGATTCAAACATCAGAAATTTCAAAAGAAGGAAACTCCTGGTTAATTCCATCAGCAAGAATAATTTGCATGGATAATTCACAATTCCCACCTATAGAAGGTACTTCAAATCAAATCTTGGCGGAGGTAGCAATGGAAAATTGGAAACCTAGGGTTGACTGGGCACCAAGGAGTCATCCTTAACTGTGAAGCCCAAGTACTAGTTTAAACAGACTTGTTGGGAGTCTGTGATGCATCTTACGAGGAAGAGATAATTATTAACCAATTATCTGTTCTTGGTTGTTGTGAGACCCCAAAATAAAATATAAGTTGCAACAAAAACAAACAAAGACCGCAATATCATTAGGCACCGCCATTCCCATTGATACAGAAGAGAGATCCAAGCTTGTAGGTCAACAATGGCAATAAAGCAGACAATGTAAATGTCGTGCGGCATGTTTCCTTCTTTATACAACTTTTTGAATCAGTTCTCCTGTATTTAGGGATCATCCAGCCTCCAAGTTCTTTTCATAATCGAATTTTATTCAGTTTGAAAAAGAAAATAAAGAAAAGAATACAAAGTAAAACCATAATTGAGACAAATAATTGAACTTGCACAAAAACAACAGTCAACTTCTCAATATCTTCCTTCCATAGCATTTTTACGTCAAAGTTTTTAAGCTCGCCAGTGACTTTTTCAGATATTTTTCAACCAGACAAAAAGAAAAAAAATATGAAATAATACAGAGAATTGAATGAGACACTTACAAAATGATACAGACTTCATTTCCCTTCAACTTTCCTGTGGGGTCTGCAGTACCCATCAGATAATAAGAGTTTGGTAAAAGAACCTTTCCTTCTTTAAGGCCTTTCCTTTCCTCCTTCATAAGAATTGACAAACGATGCTGTAGGTAAGGTTCCTCAAGCGGTAATCCACAAAAAATCATTCTCGCCACCAACAAATTGTCACTTATCTCTTGATATTTCACAGCAGCTGCAAAACACAAAATTAAGGAAGACGACACAATGAATCCACTACAAAAAAAACATTCAACAACAGGCTCTTTTCCAGGAGACAAATCCACACACTGGAAAACTAAAAAGATTAGTGAATTAGTAACAAAGTAATAGAGATTTTATACTAAAAGACCAAGTACATTTAGTACAAGAAAATTACAATCACGCCCATCCATCAAATGTGAAATCAAGAAGCTGGGAGAGCATCATTTCACCCACAAAAGTCCGAGTTAAATTTTCTAGACTTTGAACCCAGCTAATGCCGCACAAATCCCCAATCTCAACCCCCCCCCCGCCCCACAGGGGGGCCCACCAGCACCCAATTTCGCATCGGTCACCTAGAGTGATTTGACTCCTTTTTTGTATATATGTTCTCAAATACATCCACCCCAACGCCTAGGTGGGTGAGAGCCCTGGGTGCATCCACTTGGGGGTAGGCAGGCACCCAGGGAGAGCAGGCCATATGTTCCTGCATTTTGCTAGGTAGGCACCATGGCCAGCCTAGTACCAAACCCCCCAAAAGTGAGAGAAGACGGAAAATAAATAAGAGAGACAGGGTAGAGAGAGAATTAAGAGAGAAATAAGGTTTACACAGGGATCCTAATCATCAAGTTCCTCATTTCAAATGCAAGTTAGAGAAATGATAGGCTCTTGTGAAATGTGGATGACTTGGTAAAGTACAGCATGACACAATTTCTTTATAATCATAAGCAACTTTTTTAGGGGCTACCAAGTACTAACACCTAGCAACTCTATACAATATTTTCCTTTTCTTTTTCTTTTCTTTTTTTTTGGCGGGGGTGGGAGGGGGGGGGAGATGTGGGTGAGTCGTTTGGGTGGGATGGAGGGAGGGTCATGCAACTGTTATCTCTTCACAAGGTTCGGCGAGAGAGAGAGAGAGAGAGAGAGGGAGGAGAGAGAGAGAGAGGAGGGAGGAGAGAGACGACCATGACAATTATTACTCCTTAACCTTAAAACGTAGGATAAGCATCGCCCTCCCCTCCCTCCTCCCTCCCCCACGCTACTTCGACGGCTCGACCGTAAGGTAACGTAGGCTA